AATGCTCTCAGCTGCTCTCACTGCTCTCAGCTGCTCTCACTGCTCTCACTGCTCTCAGCTGCTCTCACTGCTCTCAGCTGCTCTCACTGCTCTCAGCTGCTCTCACTGCTCTCACTGCTCTCACTGCTCTCACTGCTCTCACTGCTCTCACTGCTCTCACTGCTCTCACTGCTCTCACTGCTCTCACTGCTCTCACTGCTCTCAGCTGCTCTCACTGCTCTCAGCTGCTCTCACTGCTCTCACTGCTCTCACTGCTCTCACTGCTCTCAGCTGCTCTCACTGCTCTCAGCTGCTCTCACTGCTCTCACTGCTCTCACTGCTCTCACTGCTCTCACTGCTCTCACTGCTCTCACTGCTCTCACTGCTCTCACTGCTCTCACTGCTCTCACTGCTCTCAGCTGCTCTCACTGCTCTCAGCTGCTCTCACTGCTCTCACTGCTCTCACTGCTCTCACTGCTCTCACTGCTCTCACTGCTCTCACTGCTCTCACTGCTCTCACTGCTCTCACTGCTCTCACTGCTCTCAGCTGCTCTCACTGCTCTCAGCTGCTCTCACTGTTCTCACTGCTCTCAGCTGCTCTCACTGCTCTCAGCTGCTCTCACTGCTCTCAGCTGCTCTCACTGCTCTCACTGCTCTCACTGCTCTCACTGCTCTCACTGCTCTCACTGCTCTCACTGCTCTCACTGCTCTCACTGCTCTCACTGCTCTCACTGCTCTCAGCTGCTCTCAGCTGCTCTCACTGCTCTCAGCTGCTCTCACTGCTCTCACTGCTCTCACTGCTCTCACTGCTCTCACTGCTCTCACTGCTCTCACTGCTCTCACTGCTCTCACTGCTCTCACTGCTCTCACTGCTCTCACTGCTCTCACTGCTCTCACTGCTCTCAGCTGCTCTCACTGCTCTCACTGCTCTCACTGCTCTCACTGCTCTCACTGCTCTCACTGCTCTCACTGCTCTCACTGCTCTCACTGCTCTCACTGCTCTCACTGCTCTCAGCTGCTCTCACTGCTCTCAGCTGCTCTCACTGCTCTCACTGCTCTCACTGCTCTCACTGCTCTCACTGCTCTCACTGCTCTCACTGCTCTCACTGCTCTCACTGCTCTCACTGCTCTCACTGCTCTCACTGCTCTCAGCTGCTCTCACTGCTCTCAGCTGCTCTCACTGCTCTCACTGCTCTCACTGCTCTCACTGCTCTCACTGCTCTCACTGCTCTCACTGCTCTCACAGCTCTCACTGCTCTCACTGCTCTCACTGCTCTCACTGCTCTCAGCTGCTCTCACTGCTCTCAGCTGCTCTCACTGCTCTCAGCTGCTCTCACTGCTCTCACTGCTCTCACTGCTCTCACTGCTCTCACTGCTCTCACTGCTCTCACTGCTCTCACTGCTCTCACTGCTCTCAGCTGCTCTCACTGCTCTCAGCTGCTCTCACTGCTCTCACTGCTCTCACTGCTCTCACTGCTCTCACTGCTCTCACTGCTCTCACTGCTCTCACTGCTCTCACTGCTCTCACTGCTCTCACTGCTCTCACTGCTCTCACTGCTCTCACTGCTCTCACTGCTCTCACTGCTCTCAGCTGCTCTCACTGCTCTCAGCTGCTCTCACTGCTCTCAGCTGCTCTTACTGCTCTCACTGCTCTCACTGCTCTCACTGCTCTCACTGCTCTCACTGCTCTCACTGCTCTCACTGCTCTCAATGCTCTCAGCTGCTCTCACTGCTCTCAGCTGCTCTCACTGCTCTCAGCTGCTCTCAATGCTCTCAATGCTCTCACTGCTCTCAGCTGCTCTCAATGCTCTCAGCTGCTCTCACTGCTCTCAGCTGCTCTCAGCTGCTCTCAATGCTCTCAGCTGCTCTCACTGCTCTCAGCTGCTCTCAATGCTCTCAGCTGCTCTCACTGCTCTCAGCTGCTCTCACTGCTCTCAATGCTCTCAGCTGCTCTCACTGCTCTCAGCTGCTCTCAGCTGCTCTCACTGCTCTCAGCTGCTCTCAATGCTCTCAGCTGCTCTCAGCTGCTCTCAATGCTCTCAGCTGCTCTCAATGCTCTCAGCTGCTCTCAATGCTCTCAATGCTCTCACTGCTCTCAGCTGCTCTCAATGCTCTCAGCTGCTCTCAATGCTCTCAGCTGCTCTCAATGCTCTCAGCTGCTCTCACTGCTCTCAGCTGCTCTCACTGCTCTCAGCTGCTCTCACTGCTCTCAGCTGCTCTCACTGCTCTCAGCTGCTCTCACTGCTCTCAGCTGCTCTCACTGCTCTCAGCTGCTCTCACTGCTCTCAGCTGCTCTCACTGCTCTCAGCTGCTCTCACTGCTCTCAGCTGCTCTCACTGCTCTCAGCTGCTCTCACTGCTCTCAGCTGCTCTCACTGCTCTCAGCTGCTCTCACTGCTCTCAGCTGCTCTCACTGCTCTCAGCTGCTCTCACTGCTCTCAGCTGCTCTCACTGCTCTCAGCTGCTCTCACTGCTCTCAGCTGCTCTCACTGCTCTCAGCTGCTCTCACTGCTCTCAGCTGCTCTCACTGCTCTCAGCTGCTCTCACTGCTCTCAGCTGCTCTCACTGCTCTCACTGCCCTCACTGCTCTCAGCTGCTCTCACTGCTCTCAGCTGCTCTCACTGCTCTCAGCTGCTCTCACTGCTCTCACTGCTCTCACTGCTCTCACTGCTCTCAGCTGCTCTCACTGCTCTCAGCTGCTCTCACTGCTCTCACTGCTCTCAGCTGCTCTCACTGCTCTCAGCTGCTCTCACTGCTCTCAGCTGCTCTCACTGCTCTCACTGCTCTCACTGCTCTCACTGCTCTCACTGCTCTCACTGCTCTCACTGCTCTCACTGCTCTCACTGCTCTCACTGCTCTCACTGCTCTCACTGCTCTCACTGCTCTCACTGCTCTCAATGCTCTCAGCTGCTCTCACTGCTCTCAGCTGCTCTCACTGCTCTCAGCTGCTCTCACTGCTCTCAGCTGCTCTCAATGCTCTCAATGCTCTCACTGCTCTCAGCTGCTCTCAATGCTCTCAGCTGCTCTCACTGCTCTCAGCTGCTCTCAGCTGCTCTCAATGCTCTCAGCTGCTCTCACTGCTCTCAGCTGCTCTCAATGCTCTCAGCTGCTCTCACTGCTCTCAGCTGCTCTCACTGCTCTCAATGCTCTCAGCTGCTCTCACTGCTCTCAGCTGCTCTCAGCTGCTCTCACTGCTCTCAGCTGCTCTCAGCTGCTCTCAATGCTCTCAGCTGCTCTCAATGCTCTCAATGCTCTCACTGCTCTCAGCTGCTCTCAATGCTCTCAGCTGCTCTCAATGCTCTCAGCTGCTCTCAATGCTCTCAGCTGCTCTCACTGCTCTCAGCTGCTCTCACTGCTCTCAGCTGCTCTCACTGCTCTCAGCTGCTCTCACTGCTCTCAGCTGCTCTCACTGCTCTCAGCTGCTCTCACTGCTCTCAGCTGCTCTCACTGCTCTCAGCTGCTCTCACTGCTCTCAGCTGCTCTCACTGCTCTCAGCTGCTCTCACTTCTTTCACTGCTCTCACTTCTTTCACTGCTCTCACTTCTTTCACTGCTCTCACTTCTTTCACTGCTCTCACTTCTTTCACTGCTCTCACTTCTTTCACTGCTCTCACTTCTTTCACTGCTCTCACTTCTTTCACTTCTTTTTTTTTTCACTGCTCTCACTTCTTTCACTGCTCTCACTTCTTTCACTGCTCTCACTTCTTTCACTGCTCTCACTTCTTTCACTGCTCTCACTTCTTTCACTGCTCTCACTTCTTTCACTGCTCTCACTTCTTTCACTGCTCTCACTTCTTTCACTGCTCTCACTTCTTTCACTGCTCTCACTTCTTTCACTGCTCTCACTTCTTTCACTGCTCTCACTTCTTTCACTGCTCTCACTTCTTTCACTGCTCTCACTTCTTTCACTGCTCTCACTTCTTTCACTGCTCTCACTTCTTTCACTGCTCTCACTTCTTTCACTGCTCTCACTTCTTTCACTGCTCTCACTTCTTTCACTGCTCTCACTTCTTTCACTGCTCTCACTTCTTTCACTGCTCTCACTTCTTTCACTGCTCTCACTTCTTTCACTGCTCTCACTTCTTTCACTGCTCTCACTTCTTTCACTGCTCTCACTTCTTTCACTGCTCTCACTTCTTTCACTGCTCTCACTTCTTTCACTGCTCTCACTTCTTTCACTGCTCTCACTTCTTTCACTGCTCTCACTTCTTTCACTGCTCTCACTTCTTTCACTGCTCTCACTTCTTTCACTGCTCTCACTTCTTTCACTGCTCTCACTTCTTTCACTGCTCTCACTTCTTTCACTGCTCTCACTTCTTTCACTGCTCTCACTTCTTTCACTGCTCTCACTTCTTTCACTGCTCTCACTTCTTTCACTGCTCTCACTTCTTTCACTGCTCTCACTTCTTTCACTGCTCTCACTTCTTTCACTGCTCTCACTTCTTTCACTGCTCTCACTTCTTTCACTGCTCTCACTTCTTTCACTGCTCTCACTTCTTTCACTGCTCTCACTTCTTTCACTGCTCTCACTTCTTTCACTGCTCTCACTTCTTTCACTGCTCTCACTTCTTTCACTGCTCTCACTTCTTTCACTGCTCTCACTTCTTTCACTGCTCTCACTTCTTCACTTCTTTCACTGCTCTCACTTCTTTCACTGCTCTCACTTCTTTCACTGCTCTCACTTCTTTCACTGCTCTCACTTCTTTCACTGCTCTCACTTCTTTCACTGCTCTCACTTCTTTCACTGCTCTCACTTCTTTCACTGCTCTCACTTCTTTCACTGCTCTCACTTCTTTCACTGCTCTCACTTCTTTCACTGCTCTCACTTCTTTCACTGCTCTCACTTCTTTCACTGCTCTCACTTCTTTCACTGCTCTCACTTCTTTCACTGCTCTCACTTCTTTCACTGCTCTCACTTCTTTCACTGCTCTCACTTCTTTCACTGCTCTCACTTCTTTCACTGCTCTCACTTCTTTCACTGCTCTCACTTCTTTCACTGCTCTCGGTTTCCTCCTGCCTTCAGCCCCGAGTGGATCACCAAGTCGAGGATCCACTACCACGACTTCATGCTCTCAGTGCATTCCAGACTGCAGGCAAGTATTGCCACGTGTGCAGGTTCCTGAGTTTCCTGTATTCCTTCTTAAGGAGTGTTTGCTGTTTTCTGAAAGACCTTTGTTGCTGCCTCTCAATAAGGCTTCATGTCCTGCTCTCCACCTTCTCCCTCTCCTCTCCTCGCAGAAGCACAAGGGCACGTCCGACCCCTTGGGAATGTGGCTGAGGAGATTACCCCTGAAACGAGAGTCTCTGTTTAAGGCGTATCAATAGCAGCCTTTTCCTGCTCTCCCTTTTCTCCTCCATCTTGCTTCCTTGGAGATTGCTGCAGTAGGAATTATCTCTGAAGAGGCGCCTAAGTAATAGGCATTTCATGTCATCGCCTCTTCTCCCTCTCCTCTCCATGCAGAAGCACAAGGGCACTACCGACCCCCTGGAGATTGTCCAAATAGAAGTCACCTCTGAAGTTAGAGTATGTTCTAAGCCCTCCTCAGTAACAGGCTTCTCCTGCTCTCCCATCTCTCTCCATCGTGCTTCCCACAGAAGCACAAGGGCACGTCTGACCCCTTGGAGGTCGTGGCGACCGAAATCACGTCTGAAACGAGAGTTCTGTGCTTGGATGAGTTTATGGTGAGTGCAGCACATAATGACAGAAAATAACAAATGCTCTTCTTGCCACTTGAAAATTGTGGCGAACGAGATCGCATCATAAACAGGAGTTTATGTCTGGGTGATTTTATCATGCATGCAGCATGGGGTGATTTTTATGATGCATGCAGCATGGGGTGATTTTATCATGCATGCAGCATGGGGTTACTTTTGCATTCGCTAAAGTCACAACGGCACATCTGACCTATTGGGGGTGATGGTTAACGAAATTGCCTTTGTAACAAATGCTTTGTGCTTGAATGAATTCATGGTGACTGGAGCGCAAAGCAGTAACATTATGAAAAAGCATGGATGAGTTAATGTTCGAATATTTTTGTAATGTGTGTGGAACTTGTAGTGAATGTCGTGTGAGGTGAGCTCCTGCTGTTGTCATGCTTGCGGCTTGCCATTTCTTTCCTTTTCTGCATGCCTTTACCACCTTACACTCCTCCAATCTTTCTCACTTCCTCCATATCTCTCCCTGCCTCTCTGACCCACACTGCAACCCTCCCAACCCCTCCAACCACCACTTGTCAGGTAACAGACGTTGCAGATGCCATGATTCTCAACCGCCTCTTCAAGCATTTATTCGACAGAGGACTGGTGAGAGGCCTTGGGAAGTAGCTACCTCTCCTCCTAACTCTTTTCTCCTAGCTATTTTCCTTGCTAGCGATACTGATGTCTTGATGCCATGATCCTCAACCGCCTTCTCAAGCACCTGCTTGACAGACGACTGGTGAGAAGCTACCTAAATCCCTCTTACAATACGGAGGCGACTTCTGCGTCGACTCAAAAGCCTCCATAATGCCATTAGTCTCAACCGCCTCCTCGAGCACCTGCTTGACAGACGACTGGCGAGTTACGTCCTTCTTCCATATCAGCCCAGGTTTGAGATGTGTCATAACCTTTTCCCGCACCACCAGTACCCTCATGTCTTTTCCGTCATCCCACTCGTATCCATGATCTCCAGGTGCTCCTAGCAACATCCAATCCAACCGCCCCCCTATACGCCTCTACGAGGCTCCAACAGGACCAAGCACTGAGGCGTTGCATAACTTCATCCATACTTTATCCATGCATCAACACCTGTCGTTTCTCCAGGTGCTTGTGGCAACATCTAACCGCCCCCCAATACGCCTCTACGAGAACGGCCTTCAACGGGACCTCTTCCTCCCCTTCATCGCTCTCCTCCAGGTGGGCCCCAGCTCCCTCTCAGGTGCCCCATTGCTCCCATTCAGGTGGTGCTTCTCCCTTCCAGGTGAACCCCCTCTCCCTTGCAGTGCAGGTAACCTCCGACTCTCTTTCCCCACCAGCTAGCTTCAAAACACCTATTCCGCCGCCACCCCGCCTTCCCTCCACACCACGTCCTCCTGGCTTTGCAAGAACCTCTTCCTCGCCCCGGTTCCAAGGAACCTCTTCCTCCCCTCTTCCTCCATTCGGCCTCCCCTTGGCTTTGCAAGTATGGGGAGGCGAAGGGGAGGAAGAGGGAGGTTCCGACCCTGGCTCCTCTGCTACCGCTGCTTGTTTGTGGTAGAGTCAGTCCGAAACACTGTAAATCCAAAAGTGCTTGCCACACGATGCAGAAAATAAAGCAAGCACATGCATGGTACAAGCAAAGGGTAGGTGGGACGGGCTGGGCCGGCCCGACCCAAGCCATGTGGCCCAGCCCGAACCAATTCATGTGGCTTGGTTCGGGCTAGTTTTGAGGCGCCTCAAAACTAGGCGCCTCAAAACTAGGCTTGGTTTGGGCTTCAGGCCGGACGAATTTCGAACCAGCGTGAAACAGGTTGGTCAGGACTTTGGCCCTTTGCTGGCCCATGCTTGGCATACCATGCATGCTGTGGTGCCTGAACTGAACTCAACACGTGCTCCTGCCATCCCCATACTCTGTTCTTGCTTTTTGCAGTCTCAGTGTGTGGTGCATGAGATCCAGTCAATGACTGACTACAGAAAGCTTGCAGCGGTGAGTGTTGTCTCGGGTAATGCTGCACACACACTCATGCACACCCACAACCACACACACATACACATACACATACACCACCACACACACACATACAGGCAAACACACACACACACACACACACACACAGACACACACACACACAGCTGCACTCCTGGTTCCAGGCCCAGTGTGTGTGTGGTGGACGAGGTGACGGACTCCAGAAAGCTGGCAGCAGTGACTGATTGGTCTCTTGATAGTGCTGCACGCGCGCACACACACAGCCGCGTGCATGCACGGCTGTATGCACAGCTGCATGTACAGCTGCATGTACAGCTGCATGTACAGCTGCGCGCACACACACGGCTGCGGGCATGGTTCCAGGCCCAGTGTGTGCTGCACGAGGTCGAGTCAATCAGAGACCACAGGTAGCTGACAGCGGTGAGTGTGTGCGTGAGTGCGCTTGAGATTAAGATTGAACAGCGATACTTTCTGGTGAAGAACGAATGTAACCGACCTCATTTCTCACCCTCCCTTCCCCCAACCCCACCCTCCCTTCCCTCACACCCTCCCTTCACGTTCTTCAACCCCACCCTCCCTTCCCTCACACCCACCCTTGCCTCTACTCACCTCCACCCTTCCCTCTACTTAACCCCACCCTCTGCTTCCTCTTGCCACCTGCAGGTGGAGCAGGGGTGGTACTTCGCAGGCGCGGGGGCAGCAGCGCTGCTGGCGAAGAAGGTGGAGCTGCTGGTGGGAGGGGCGGAGTTGCTGAGTCTGAGGGAAGAGGAATGTAACTCACCACACTGCACGCCCTCCCTCCCTTTCCCCCAACCTCTCCCCTTCCACCATGCGAGCAGGTGGAGCAGGGGTGGTACTTCACAGGCACAGGGGCGGCAGCGCTGCTGGCGAAGAAGGTGGAGCTGCTGGTGGGAGGGCCGCAGCTGGGCCCTGTGGACGTGGAAGTGCTCATGGGGAGGAAACTCAGGGTGAGAACCTCCTCTAGACACCCCGTTACTCTCACTCCGTAGCTCACTCGTTTGCTGTTACCTCATGGTGGGAGGGCCGCAGCTGGGCCCTGTGGACGTGGAAGTGCTCATGGGGAGGAAACTCAGGGTGAGAACCTCCTCTAGACACCCCGTTACTCTCACTCCGTAGCTCACTCGTTTGCTGTTACCTCATGGTGGGAGGGCCGCAGCTGGGCCCTGTGGACGTGGAAGTGCTCATGGGGAGGAAACTCAGGGTGAGAACCTCCTCTAGACACCCCGTTACTCTCACTCCGTAGCTCACTCGTTTGCTGTTACCTCATGGTGGGAGGGCCGCAGCTGGGCCCTGTGGACGTGGAAGTGCTCATGGGGAGGAAACTCCGAGTGAGAACTACTTAATGACACCCCTCTTGCTCCTTGTGCTCCTTGTTCCCTCGTTCCTTCACTCTCACTCATTTGCCGCTACCTCATCATGGGAGGGGCGGAGATGGGCCCTGTGGACGTGGAGTGCTCATGGCGGAAACTCAGAATGAGTGGCTCTCTTATTGCCTCATTTATTGGTTCCTGGTACTCTCATTCTTTCCTTCTCACTGGCTCATCATGGGAGGGGCGGAGATGGGCCCTGTGGACGTGGAAGTGCTCAAGGGGAGGGGAGGAAACTCAAGAGTGAGTGGCTCTTATTGTTTCGCTTCTTGCTTTTTTGTCCTCTCGCTCCTTAAGCCTCGCTTCTTTCTCAATCCTTTAATCTCACTCCTTTTCTCACTCCTTCAATCTCGCACCTTTTCTCACTCCTTTACTCTTGCTCCTTTGCTCTCACTCCTTCGCTTTCACTCCTTCACTCTCACTGTGAGAGGGCAGTGCAGTGAGAGGGCAGTGTCTTATGGCCTGTCTGTGCTGTTGACGGTATTCTCCTTCTTCCTTACCCCTCCCTTGCCCCGCATCCCCACCATCAGCTGCAACGAGCAGCCAAGGGAGTGGCGTCTGTCAAATTCTTTGAGCTCTGTGAGGTGCCTCTTGGTGCAGCTGACTACTTCGCCCTCTGCAGTAAGCCCACCTCCTTTCTCTATAGGATCTTCTATTTCCTCAGATATTTGTTTTACCTCACTTTCTCCTATATCTCTCAACTCCCTCCACACCTCATTCCCGAATCTTCCTCTGCAATATGTTTCATGCCCTCCCCCTTCGTAAGCTGTCTAAAAATACTCCCTGTGCCATATGTTTCATTCCCTTTCCCTTCTCCATACGCATTTTAGGGCTTTAGTTTTTTATGTTTGCGGCATTACGGGTCGAATGCTTCTCTTTTATTCTTTTTCTTTTCTGCCTCCGTGACCCCTGTGCCCCTTTTTTCCAGAGAATTTCCACACTCTAGCAATGGAGGGCATTCCTGTATTCGGAGCGTCCAACAGAGGGGCGGCGTATCGATTCGTCACTTTGATAGATGTAAGAGTGCGCCTCACATGGCAGATCCTCCCTCCTGAATTGCATTGAGGTCATCTGACACGTGTGTCGCTCGAGGCCCCACCGAACATTCCCCCCTCCCCCTTCCCCCCACATTCCTCCCCAGATGATGCACGAGCACAAGACCCGCCTTGTGTGCTCAGTGTAGGGCACTCCCTTTAATGCCACTCCCTGAGAATCCTTAAGAGTCAATCCCCCCTCCCGACCCCCCCCCCCCCTCCCCCCCCCTCCCCCTTCTCCCCCTTCTCCCCAGGTGATGTACGAGCACAAGACTCCCTTGTCTGCTGGCAGAGGGCACTCCCTTTGAGCTCCTGAGAATTCTTTACATTCTATTTCCTCCCCCCAACCCCCCCTCTCCAGGTGATGTACGAGCACAAGACTCGCCTGGTCTGCTCGGCAGAGGGCACTCCCTTTGAGCTCTTTGAGCGCGTGGTTACCATCGCAAACGCGCCACGTAGGACAGCCGCCAGGTCAGCGAGATCTGATGATGCTGACGTGGCGGTGGACGACGAGCTGGGATTCGCTAAGGACCGCACAGTCAGCAGGTGAGGCAGCGGTAAAGAACTCCTTTTGCAGGCGAATGGAGTGTACCCTGTGTCATCATCTATTAGTGATTATGTTGTTACAGATTTTCTTCAATTCCGTATCAATCATGCGCGATCATTTCGGTTCCTTGTCTTGCACCATGTACAGTAAGTATATCATTTCACGAGTTACAGTTCAGTTCTCTCCGAAAACATTCTTCTCATATTCTTGTTGACTCTGGTGGGCTCTCGACTTGTGCCCCTAGTCCCGTTTCGTGATTCACCAGCTATTGATTTTCACGCTTCCATTCCTATTTTGACTGGATATTCTGCCACAGGATGATGGAGATGCAAAGTACGGAGTATGAGCAAGACAATGCGGTTGCATACAAGCACATGTTACAGCAATCGTAGTACCAGTTGGTGCAAGTTGCAACATGCCACAGTACCAAGTGTTTATTTGTGATTATTTTTGTAAGAAAGAGAACGACGGTAATATGCATCTGAAAATGAGCTGGTTAAAGCTTTTGAAAATAAGAATACCGGTACGCCGGATCCGTATCTAGACATGCCCAACGTATCATATCGGAATCATATATGAAATCCTTATACATCAGAATGTGAGTGAGTGGAAGAGTGAATAAAGATACACAATAAGTCGAATCCAATGCATTTGTTTTGCATACGGATATGGCTGTGTCAATTCATGAATAATGATGGATTTGTTCTATGGAATGTAATTTGGTGTGCTCTCTAGTTTCTTTAGAGGAGATGAATTGCTGCCTTTCTCTTGCACATTATCAAAAGTTCTAAGTTTTGTTAAAAGGTCGTAACCCAAGCACATTATCAAAAGTGAATACAAAGTGTAGGACGTTCTCGAGCGAAGTTTTCCTCGACGACTTTGGTTGTGAAGCTGCGCGAAGCACCATTGATGACATCACTATCACATCGCATCCCATCACCCCATCAGTTCCTCCCCTTCTCGCTGGCGCGCTTCCACCCAATTCGCCAGGAAGGTTGCGTCGCCAGCTTCGCAGCACCTCCAAATGCAGCATGCTCGCCACGCAATGACAGTCTCGCCTGGTAGTTCGAAAGTTCGCAACATTCCAACGGGGACAATCGATTGGATGATACGGGCAGATGCGAACATTCTCGAAAGAGGTAACCCGAGAAGTCTCTTCTCCCCACCTACCAGCTCAACTTCGCACACACAAATACAAAGCGGGGCGAATCAGCATTTCGACATTCAGCCTTCTAATCGACAATAATTCCATCACCCGCAAAAGCCGTATTTCCCCACTAAACCTCTGTAGCTGGTTCTCTTGCTGCAATAGCACAATCGCCTCTGCTTTCCAGAAGTAGCAGCGCTAGAATTCATATTCCCGAAAGCAATCGATTCTTCATCACTCGCATTCGCTTTCACGCATCCCCTCTCCCCTGTCAAACCGATTCCCGTCTTCACACATTTCGAAACCCTGCTCGATAGCCTTGCCACCACCTCGTGCATGGCCCTCCAGCAGCACGACAGCGTTGCGTCAGCCTCGGACAATCCCCCCTCGAGCCATATCCGCCAGATCGCGTCCTTCTCGTTCCGTCGCGAGGCCACTCGCACCTTCGAGACCATCGACCTCAACAAGGACGGAAAAATCTCCGCCCATGAGCTCGCGACGCTCCAAGCGCGGCTTGACAAAGCAGCTGCTGGGTCGAAGAATGGATTGTACGATAGTACGACTACTAGTAGTAGTTTTCTCGAGGCAGGCGGTGATTTGATTGGACTCGCGGAGGATGTGATTCGAGAGGCTGACGTGGACGGCGACGGGATGATTGATTTCGAGGAGTTTCTGCTCTCGGCGCGCGCAGGGCCGTCCCTTCTGGGCGAATACTTCGTCTCAGTTCCATCGTCCGATGACGAGGAATCAGAATCGGACGGTGGAAGCGACTCAGAAAAGGACGAAATGGAAGGAGATTTGTTCCGCGCGTTTGAGGTTTTTGACCGTGACAGCAACGGGGTTATTAGCGCGGAAGAGCTACAGTTCGTTATAGGTGTTCTTAACGGGGATGATTTGACGGTGGAAGACTGCAAACGGATGATAAAGCGGGTGGACACTAACGGGGATGGATGTGTGGATTACAACGAGTTCAAGACCATGATGGCTGGGATCTTTGATTGACTCCAGGGTTGAGCTAGATAACACCGTAGATTAGGTGCTTTCATTCTAATTCTCATTGTATTGGCGAATACTGCGATATTAACAAATTGGACATCCAAGCAACCCCTAGCCACCCACAGGCCCCCACCCAACGGATGCACTACACTCAGGGCGAGCCACTCCCTAGTTCCCACTCATACAAACCCTCCTGAGTTGAGCCTGCTGTCCATCCAGCCACACACGCCAGGCACATCACCATCACCCTCTGTCCTCTTGCAACAATGCAACCCCCTCCCAACTCTGTCCTATGAGAAGGTTCTGTGTCGACTCACAAAGCACCTCCCTGGTTCCCACTCATACAGACCCTCCTGAGCCTGTTGTCCATCCAGCCACACACGCCAGGCGCATTACCGTCTGCTCATTCCCCTCCCCAGGTTGTTGCTACCGCTCTCCTCTTGCAACAACACAACTCCCACCCAACTCTGTCCTGTGGGAAGGTACTATGCCGCCTCACAAGGCCCCTCTCTCACAAGGCCACAAGACCACAGCATGTAACAGGCAGCCATATCTACTATGTCCCTCCATTTCTGCTTCATCAGCAGCATTTCGGACCTTCTTCCTGGCCAGCAACAGGCAGCCAAATTTATGGATCCTGTTGTTCTGCCTTTGCAGGTGCTGCGGCTGCTGCAGAAGGGTCTGTGCCTCCTGTCTCCTTGATAAGGTCAGTCACGTTCCGCTCTAGCTCGTCTATGCGTGTACCCATCTCGTCGAGTGGTTGAGGATAAATGGATTAAGAGAGCCGGAAGAGGAGAGAAAAGGGATTGAGAGGGCGAGTGCGAGACAGGGAAGAGGAGGGGGACAAGAGAGAGGAGAAAGAGAGAGAGAGTTAAGGATGAACAGCAGGCATGGCAGGAGAGAGGTGAAGAAGAAAAGGGAGATGAGCAAACAAACACGCCCGATTGTAAACGACCAAAAAACACATGACGGTAAATGCAATGTGAAAGGTGGACATGAGAGGGAGGTGGGCGGAAGAATAGGGAGGAAGTAAATCGCAGAGTGAAGTAGAGGGAGCAGGAAAGGGGCAATAAGGGGCGGCAAGGCGGATATTCCTCGAGATGATTGTCTCGGACATGGTCTGGAAGCGGGCTTGCTGCAGGGCACAGGTGGAGGGACAAAGAACAGAGAACATAGGGAGAGAGAGCAGGTGGAGGGTGAGGCGAAACGGAAGGACAAAGACTGAAGAGAGATACAATAGGGCTTCATTGGATGCATGTGGAGGAACATGATGGCACGGAATTGACTTTTGAGGCGCCTCAAAAGTAATTTTATGAGCGCAGGTGGAGGAACATGATGGCACGGAATGGAATAGAGCACGCAAGATGATTTGATTGACTGGTATTACTGGACTCGGAGCTTTTCCATTGGCTGAAAGAGCGTTTGTTGAGTCGCCTCAGAAATAGAGAAAGCACCATGATGATTTGAGTGGTATTACGGGGGCATTGAGCCTCACCATTTGCTGAAGAAGAGTTTGTACCTGCAAGGTGGGACACGCAGAGGGGCAACACACAGAGGAGCAACACACAGAGGAGCAACACACAGAGGAGCAACACACAGAGGAGCAACACACAGAGGAGCAACACACAGAGGAGCAACACACAGAGGAGCAACACACAGAGGAGCAACACACAGAGGGGAAAGAGAAAGTGAGTGCTTCCCAGTGCATGGGACTCACAATCTACATGCACATAGCATCACGCGCGAATAGCATCGAAAGCGAACGCACAGCATCAAGTGCATGCTTCGTCACTAATCGAGCTAGGTGCTCGAATGTCATACACACACCACATATTTTCTAGTCATAGCACAGATCACCCAATTCAATCCAAGGTGCATCACATCCATGACTTGCATTAACTGGAAGGAGGTGATTAAGATCCGTGACTCTCTGGTGACCCCGAACAGGCCGCGGGATGTGCTGCTAAGAATTCACAGCTTAAACCTGCAAGTGGGGGAGCGGCTCTCTTTCCTAAGCGGCAAACCGGTCTGTCCACACTGCGGGGATTTTGAGACTTTGGAGCACTGCCTTTTCACCTGCCCGCGCATTCAACTGGTGGTGGGGGCAGTCAGGAGGGCCCTGCGCATGCTTCATCCGGCAAGGCAAGTGGCAAACCTGGGACTGTTTGGCAAAGCAGCATCCTCCTCAGCTTTTCCGGAAGCCTCGCTGGCAGCTATTGCGGTGCACCAGATCTCGGCAGAGCGGTGCGAGTGTGTTTTTCGGGAGAAGAGATTTCGGGCTCGGCGCGTCCTCAGGCGCACAGAGGCAGCTTTCCGGCTGCATGTGAAGGTGTATACCCGGGAAATGGGGAGAAAGCTGGAGAGGGGACGCGGTTCGAAACAGCACGGAAAGGCCTGGGCGCTGGCAGGACAAGAGGACTGTTTGCTTGGACGTATCCGATGCGTGAAGGGGTGGAAGTGGACCCGGAATTTCGGGGCACTGTGGAACCTTGCGCGGGGGGCTCTGCATCCGCCTTAGACACTGCCCCTGGGGCCGTTACTAGTTCTCGGCCTCTCACGCTCAGTTACGACTGACATATGTTTTCGTATATGCTTGTATCACCGGTGTATAGTGAACATATCCATATAAAAAACATCCATGACTTGCAGACGGACGGAGGTTGGTGTATGGAGATCAGCATAACGCTGTATGACATGGCAATTATCTTATTTTTGCAGATGAGCAAAATGCAGATGCAAGCATGGCATGGCATAGTATGGCATGGTATAGTATGGCATGGCATGGCAAGGCATGGTATACCATATGGCATAGCATTGCATGGCATGGCATGGCATGGCATGGCAAGGCATGGCATGGCATGGCATGGCAAGGCATGGCATGGCATGGCATGGCATGGCATCACATGGCAAGGCATGGCATGGCATGGCGTGGCATGGCATGGCATGGCATGGCGTGGCATGGCATGGCATGGCATGGCATGGCATGGCATGGCATGGCAAGGCATGGCATGGCATGGCAAGGCATGGCATGGCATGGCATGGCATGGCATGGCATGGCATGGCATGGCATGGCATGGCAAGGCATGGCATGGCATGGCATGGCATGGCAAGGCATGGCATGGCAAGGCATGGCATGGCATGGCATGGCATGGCAAGGCATGGCATGGCAAGGCATGGCATGGCATGGCATGGCATGGCATGGCGTGGCATGGCATGGCATCGCATGGCACAGTATGGCATGGCATGGCATGGCATGGCATCGCATGGCATAGTATTGCATGTCATGGAATGGCATCGCATGGCAAGGCATGGCATGGCATGGCATGGCATGGCATCGCATGGCATGGCATGGCATCGCATGGCAAGGCATGGCATGGCATGGCATGGCATGGCGTGGCATGGCATGGCATGGCATGGCATGGCATAGTATTGCATGGCATGGCATGGCATCGCATGGCAAGGCATGGCATGGCATGGCATGGCATGGCATGGCATGGCATGGCATGGCATGGCATGGCATGGCATGGCATCGCATGGCATAGTATTGCATGGCATGGCATGGCATGGCATGGCATCGCATGGCATAGTACAGCATGGCATGGCATGGCAACTGACAAAGGCTGTGAGGTCAGCAACGTTGTGTGGCGCTGCTGCGTCTGCCGGCGTCCCCCCTGTGGTGCCCTGTGACTGCGGATCGGACGCCGCAGCAGCGTTCCCCGAGGAATCCTGAGAGAGCGAGGGAGTACGAAAGGGGGATATTAGGGGATTTTTGAGGTGTGTCAAAAGGCGTCCCCCCTGTGGTGCCCTGAGACTGTGGATTGGACTCTGCTGCCGCGTTCCCTGAATCCTGGGAGCGAGAGGGGGTGCGGAAGGGGGATGGGAGGGGATATTTTAGGTGCGTCAAACGGCGTCCCCCCCGTGGTGCCCTGTGACTGCGGACCAGACGCTTCTGCCGCGTTCCCTGAGGAATCCTGGGACGAGTGACGAGAATGGAATGAGGAAAGCAAGATGATTTGACCTCTCAGCAACGTTGTGTGGCACTGCTGCTTCTGCCTGCGTCCCCCCTGTGGTGCCCTGTGACTGCGAATCAGACGCTGCTGCCGTGTTCCCCGAGGAATTCTGAGAGGGGAGATGGGGGGCAGGCGGGGGAGAAGGAGGGGGTAGAGGAGGAGGAGGGAGGGGGAGAGGAGGGAGGTGGAAGGAGGGAGGTCGAACCAAGACCGGCCTGGACGAACCGAACCGGCCTGACCGAACCAAACCGGCCTGACCGAACCAAACCGGCCTGACCGAACCGAACGGGCCTGACCGAATCAAACCGGCCTGAAAAACCGGCCTGGACGAACCAAACGAGTCTGAGGCTGCTCGCTTTCATGAGTGCGGCACGACGGCTGGGAGGCTATGGTCGACTGGCACGGCGATTCATACCATGCAGCAACTGCGTCGCTTTTGAGAATCCTCTTTTGACAAGCATTTGAGATTTAAAAAGAGCAAAACCACGACGGCTGGGAGGCTATGGTCGACTGCCATGCAGCGAGCGACGCAGTCGCTTGTGAAAATTCTCTTTTCACAAGCTTCTGAGGAATTTCAAAAGCAGAAACACGACGGCTGGGAGGCCATGTTCGACCTGGCACGGCGATTCATACCATGCTGTGACTGCGGGTGGGGGGTAGTGCGATGACGCGGAATACGCCAAAAATCACCGCCACAGTCTCAGGAAATTACGAGTTCCAGAAGCGCGGCCTAGTAGTGGTGTAAAGGAACATGAGAAACGTTTGGAGAGGGCGCAGCGGAAGAAGCGGAGATGATGAAAAGCGAAGTGAGAATCCCTAAAAAAATGAAAACGTTTGGAAAGGGCCCAGCGGAATACATGGGGTGCACCTACACGAGTGTCGAGATGGTGAAAAGAGGTTCGACTCGAGAATCCCTAAGAAAATGTAAGGGCAGGTCAGGGAGCGTTCGCTGTCAGAAAATTGCAGTACAGTACAAATTCCTTATTTTTTGCGTGACCGATTGCAGAACACGGGTGTGAGTAGCGAGTAGCACTTCGCCAAACTAGCATTGCAAAGAATGTCTTACCCAGGGTGAGGGTGTGGTTACTTCGCAAGCAGAACTGCTAGTTTCGAGCAAAGGATAATTCTAAGGTCAGTTTGCGTGGGAATCTAAGGTCAGATTTACGGGAATGAACGCAACCCAGTCCCGCCCCCTTAACTGACAAGCTAGGTTGCCGCATCCTGGCAGCGAGGCTACTATCGAGATGACTGTAACGAGAGTGAGTTGAAGTCGTGGTACTGTAGCAGAGCAAGCGGAGGCAGGAGAGCGAGAGAAGGAAATCAAGAGAGAGCGCGCGCGAGAGAGCTCAAGAGGAAGGAGAAAGAGCACGAGAGAACGCGAGAGAGCCATGGGTCACGCGGCGTTTCAGCTCGTTCGCGCCGTAACCCTAACAGACACCTCTGGTAGCTCTCGCTCTTCTCCCGCTCCCGCTCCCCCTAGTACCGCTCTCAGTCGCTTCCTCGGTCCCGCTGCGACGGCGACGGCGAGTCCGAGTCGCATTCTCTGCTGCACCCAATGGCGCTCCTCCATTCTCATTGGCTGCAGCGACGGCGCGCTGCTAGAGTACCGCCCGGCAGGACCATCAGCGGCAGCGGACCGATCAGCGGCTTCCGCGCCGCGTGTCGCGGCCGGCAACGGTGGCTATTCGCTGTTCGCGCGGAGAGACGGTTTCGCTCCGTCCACCATTCTGCGACTCGAAGTCGCCGCGCTGCCGACAGCTGCTGCTGCTGATAGTTCCGCTATCCCCGCCGCCCCCGCCGCCACCGCCGCTTCCGCCGCATCTGACGCTTCCGGGGCGGCGGGCGTGCTGATCGCGCTGGCGGACTGCGTGAGGCTGGCGGCGCTGCCGTCATTGGAGCCGCTGACGTGTCTCCCGCGCACAGCTGGCGCCACGTCACTGGCGTGGGACGCGGAGGGCGGCGTGCTGTGCGTGGCGATCAAACGGAGAGTGCTGGTGCTGCGGTTTGATGGTGAGTGCGTGTGGGTTGTGAATGGTTTAATGCGGCGAGCAATGGCACTTAAGGGGGGAGAGATTGGCTCGGCGTGCTGTGCGTGGCGATCAAGCGGAGAATGCTGGTGCTGCAGTTCGACGCTCGGTTGATGTAGGTTTGAAACAGTTCAATGCGGTGATCAGTGGTACCGCTGCTAATCTCCTACTTTCCTCACTCGTCCTCATGCCCTTCAAAGAGGAGCGCGAGTTCACATGCCCAGACGCCCTCACAGGCCGTTTCTCATTCACCTGCCCGTCATCCTTCCCTTATCAAACTCGTTCACCTGCCCGTCGTCCTTCCTTTGTCAAACTCTTTCTCTCTCATTCCCTTTCAGGCCATTCAAGGTTCAAGGAGGAGCGAGTGTTCACATGCCCAGACGCCCCTCTCAGGCCGTCATCCCATCCCCTCCTCTTCATCCTCCTTACCTGTCCAACTCTTCCCTTCTCTTCTCCCCCCTCAGTCCATTCAACCTTCAAGGAGGAGCGAGAGTTCACGTGCCCAGACGCCCCTCGCCTGCTCGCCCTGCCTTTCCACCCTCCTCCTCTTCCTCCTCACCTCCCCGTCCTTCTTCCTCCCTTTCTCTCCCTCATCCCTCCCAGGCCGCTCAGCTTTCAAGGAGGAACGTGAGTTCACGTGCCCAGACGCCCCTCGCCTGCTCGCCCTGCCCTCGCCCACCACGCTCTGCGCCGCCACACCCGCCAAGTACCTTCTGCACCACATTCCACCGCCCGGCACCGCTGGCAGCGGCGGCTCGTGGCGGGAAATGCTGCCGTGTGGGCAGGTGGCCCCACCTAGTGTTGTAAAGCTGCCCCGGGGAGAGATGTTGGTCGGCAAGGTGAGTTGAGGATGGCTGCTGCTTATATGTGTGGTAGCGCGAGCACCGCTGGCGGCGGTGGCACCGCTGGTAGCGGTGGCTCATGGCGGGACATGCTGCCGTGCGGGCAGGTGGCCCCTCCGCGGGGAGAGATGGTGGTGGGCAAGGTGAGGTCTTAGGAGCAGGGGAGGGCTTGGGCTTACAGGTGTGGCAGCGGCGGCTCGTGGCGGGACATGCTGCCGTGCGGGCAGGTGGCTCCTCCCAGTGTGGTGAAGCTGCTGCGTGGGGAGATGCTGGTCAGGAAGGTGAGAGGGGGACGGTTGCTGCTGCTTGAATGAGTTGGGGTTGGCTGGTACTCCAGGTGTAGCCATGCTAGCACCGCAGGCAGAGGTGGCACTTGTGTCTCGTGGCTCGTGGCGGGACATGCTGCCATGTGGGCAGGTGGTGCCGCCTAGTGTGGTGAAGCTGCCGCGGGGAGAGATGCTAGTCGGGAAGGTGAGGTCTTGAGAGTGGGGAGGGCTTGAGCTTACAGGTGTGGCAGTGGGGAGGGGTACTCGTCGTGGGGGAGGGCTGGCTGGTACATGAGGCGGAGGTGAGATGAGATCTCACCTTCGCCCACTGGCAGTGGGGACTCGTCGTGGGGGAGGGCTGGCTGGTACATGAGGCGGAGGTGAGATGAGATCTCACCTTCGCCCACTGGCAGTGGGGACTCGTCGTGGGGGAGGGCTGGCTGGTACATGAGGCGGAGGTGAGATGAGATCTCACCTTCGCCCACTGGCAGTGGGGACTCGTCGTGGGGGAGGGCTGGCTGGTACATGAGGCGGAGGTGAGATGAGATCTCACCTTCGCCCACTGGCAGTGGGGACTCGTCGTGGGGGAGGGCTGGCTGGTACATGAGGCGGAGGTGAGATGAGATCTCACCTTCGCCCACTGGCAGTGGGGACTCGTCGTGGGGGAGGGCTGGCTGGTACATGAGGCGGAGGTGAGATGAGATCTCACCTTCGCCCACTGGCAGTGGGGACTCGTCGTGGGGGAGGGCTGGCTGGTACATGAGGCGGAGGTGAGATCTTCGTGTTTGGCACTGGCAGTGGTGTTTCAACGCCTCACGATGCACAATGCGCCGCGCGTCAATATTTTAGGCGCCTCAACAATAGACGCCTCACGATGCACAATGCGCCGCGCGTCAATATTTTAGGCGCCTCAACAATAGACGCCTCACGATACACAATGCGCCGCACGTCAATATTATAGGCGCCTCAACAATACACGCCTCACGATGCGTGAAGGCGCCTAAAAACTAGGCGCCTAAAAACTAGGCGCCTAAGAACTAGGCGCCTAAAAACTAGGCGCATCACAAGGCAGAATGCACCCTACGTCATCTCCATCAACCCCTCCACCCCTCCTCCTCCCTCCTCCCCCCTCCTTCCTCTCCCCTCCTCTCATCACCATCAGGACAGCATAGGCCTCTGTTTTTTAGAATTCTCATCCTTACCTTCTTTTCCTCTTCTGCTTCCCTCTGAATACCTTCGTCCCCCGTCCCCCTTTGTCTCCCCGCCCTCTCCTCGTCCCTCCGTCAGAACAGCATAGGGCTCTTCCTTGACGCCTCTGGTCGGCCCCTGCGTCTCCATGGCATCTACTGATCGACCCCTTACCGTCTCCCTTCCTCTTCTCCTACCCACTAAATCCCCCCCCCTCCCGTCCCCTCTCCCGCCCTCGCCCCGCCATCAGGACAGCATAGGGCTCTTCCTCGACGCCGCTGGTCGCCCCCTGCGCTCCCACGGCATCAACTGGTCGCGCCCGCCCTCCCACGTGGTGCCTGCTTGCATGCTGCAATTCTGGCACTTTCACACCCCACCAACCGCCCTTCCCCTCCTCTCCCTGCCATCAGGACAGCATAGGGCTCTTTCTTGACGCCTCTGGTCGCCCTCTGCGCTCCCACGGCATCAACTGGTCGCGCCCGCCCTCCCACGTGGCTGTCATGCCGCCCTACGCCCTCGCCAAGCTCCCCAATTACATCGAGGTGCACTTGTCACACCCTCACACCTTCACAATGTGCTGTCACGTCTCTGTGTGCTCTACCGCCCTCCCACGTGGCTGTCATGCCCCCCTACGCCCTCGCTAAGCTGCCCAACTACATCGAGGTGCGCATTGTCACACCTTCACGCACCTTCACACACAGTTTTTCACACCTTCACAAACCTTTTCACACCTTCACACACCTTCGCAACGCACTGTCACGTCCATGTGTGCTCGACCCCTCTCCCTCGTAGCTGTCATGCCGCCCTACGCCCCCGCCAAGCTCCCCAACTACATAAGAGGTATGCCGTGCCGTCACTCACACTTCAATCACATTGCATCTCATGCCCATGCCCATGCCCATGCGCACGCGTGCGTGCTCCACCTCCCACCTGTCTGTCATGCCGCCCTACGCCCCCGCCAAGCTCCCCAACTACATAAGAGGTGAGCTCGCCATGTCACACTGTCGCAATGCATGGTTACATGTCACACCGTCGCAATGCATGGTTACATGTCACACCGTCGCAATGCATGGTTACATGTCACACCGTCGCAATGCATGGTTACATGCCACACCGTCGCAAAAGTTCTCTTTTTAAGTTCTCAAAAGTTCTCAAAAGTTCTCAAGAGTTCTCTTTGTCACACCTTGCCCTCATGACTCTTTGTGATTGTCAAGAGCTTTTGCTTGGTGAAAGTGGTGAGTGAAAGCAGCAAAAGATCAAGCAAGCACATGTATAGAAAGAATTCGGTTCCCTCCACTTTACTGTTTTCCCTTACACGCTCCCGTTCCCCTGCCTCCTCAGGTGCGCTCCTTGCTCCCAGGCCACGCCTTGGTGCAAACCATTCCTCTGCAGGAGCATGCATCGCTCTGCACCCCTCCCACTCTCCCTTGACCCTCCTGTATTCCTGATCCTGGACCCTGCCCTCCTCAGGTGCGCTCCTTGCTCCCAGGTCATGCTTTGGTGCAAACCATCCCCCTGCGGGAGCATGCAGCGCTCTGGACCACCCCCACTCTCCCCACCGCCACTGCCCCCTCTTTCCCTTTGCCTCATGTTTCCCCTATCCTCCAGGTGCGCTCCTTGCTGCCGGGCCATGCCTTGGTGCAAACCATCCCCCTGCGGGAGCATGCAGCGTTGTGGACTCCTCCAAATCTCCCCACTGCCACTACTGGCGCCGTTGACGACAGCAGCAGGGGGGCAGGGCGGTCAGCCCGGGGTGTGTTTGCAGTGGCGGAGGAGAGTGTGTACATCGTCGCTCCTGTCTCCCTTGCCGCTCAGGTGCGTATCGCTCTGTGATGTGATGCAGTGCGGTGTGGTGTGGTGGTGTGCTGTGCTGTGTGGTACCAGTGCTACAAGCAGCGTCTTTGTCAAGGGCAGCAGCCACAGCAGGGCAGCAGGGCGGTCAGCCCGGGGTGTGTTTGCAGTGGCGGAGGAGAGTGTGTACATCGTCGCTCCTGTCTCCCTTGCCGCTCAGGTGCGTATCGCTCTGTGATGTGATGCAGTGCGGTGTGGTGTGGTGGTGTGCTGTGCTGTGTGGTACCAGTGCTACAAGCAGCGTCTTTGTCAAGGGCAGCAGCCACAGCAGGGCAGCAGGGCGGTCAGCCCGGGGTGTGTTTGCAGTGGCGGAGGAGAGTGTGTACATCGTCGCTCCTGTCTCCCTTGCCGCTCAGGTGCGTATCGCTCTGTGATGTGATGCAGTGCGGTGTGGTGTGGTGGTGTGCTGTGCTGTGTGGTACCAGTGCTACAAGCAGCGTCTTTGTCAAGGGCAGCAGCCACAGCAGGGCAGCAGGGCGGTCAGCCCGGGGTGTGTTTGCAGTGGCGGAGGAGAGTGTGTACATCGTCGCTCCTGTCTCCCTTGCCGCTCAGGTGCGTATCGCTCTGTGATGTGATGCAGTGCGGTGTGGTGTGGTGGTGTGCTGTGCTGTGTGGTACCAGTGCTACAAGCAGCGTCTTTGTCAAGGGCAGCAGCCACAGCAGGGCAGCAGGGCGGTCAGCCCGGGGTGTGTTTGCAGTGGCGGAGGAGAGTGTGTACATCGTCGCTCCTGTCTCCCTTGCCGCTCAGGTGCGTATCGCTCTGTGATGTGATGCAGTGCGGTGTGGTGTGGTGGTGTGCTGTGCTGTGTGGTACCAGTGCTACAAGCAGCGTCTTTGTCAAGGGCAGCAGCCACAGCAGGGCAGCAGGGCGGTCAGCCCGGGGTGTGTTTGCAGTGGCAGAGGAGAGTGTGTACACATCGTTTGCTCGTCTCCCTTGCTGCCCAGGTGTGTGCTGCTTAGAGGTGTGGTACGGTGTGGTACGATTCCACCTATCTGATACTTATCCCTTCTCCACTGCCCCTGCTTGTCACAATGCAGATCGACCAGCTAGTGAGCGAGGGGCTGTTTGAAGAGGCGCTCTCCCTGTGTGAGGGGCTAGAGGATGGGGAGGGGGAGGAGGAAGGGGCGAGGGAGGGGGAGGAGGAGAGGAGCGGCCAGCCAAGGAGGCGCATGGACCTGGTTCGACTGCGGTGAGTAGAACGCCGTATCATGTGCATGTGCATGTGCATGTGCATGTGTGTGTGCATGTGCATGTGCATGTGTGTGTGCATGTGCATCATATCATCCTCTTCCTCTCCGTCTGCTCCATCCCAACTCAACCTCTCTCTCCCACTCTTCTCCCAACCTTGCCCATGGAGCCTCTGCTCCTTGCCTGCCCCTTCTTTCTTGTTCATTGTTGTCTTGTATCATCCTCTCTCCTTTCCGTCTCCCCCCCATCTCCACCTCCTTCTCCCCCCCCCTCCCAGTCTCGCCCACCATCTCTTCTCATCGGGTGAATTCGACCGGGCCATGCAGCAACTCGCCCTCTGCTCCTTGCCGCCCCTCCTCCCAGCCCTCTCGCTCTTCCCCTTCCTCCCCTCCCTCCCCTCCCTCCCCTCCTCCATCCTCTCCCTCGCTGCCTCCTCCTCCCCCTACCCTCCCTCCTTCCCCTCCGCCTCCCCCTCCTCCCCCTCCTACCCTCTCTCTCCTTCCTCCACACCTTCTGCTGCTGCAACACCACCGGGAGTGCAATCGCAATCAGATCTAACCGGGCGGCAGCGCAAGCTGGCGTTGCTGTCTCTAGTGGGTTTCCTGGCAGAGAAGCGAGCAGCGGCTGTAGCATCTGCAGCAGCAGCAGGAGCATCTTCATTATCAGCAGCAGCACCACCAGTGGCAGCTGCTGCTTCTGCCACTGCAGTAGCGGAGCCTCTAGGAAAGGAAGGAGAGGAGAACGAGGGAGAGGAGCAGCAGATCATGTCAGCAGTGGAAGCAACAGCAGTTGTGATTGACACCTACCTCTCCATCGCCCTCCAGTCCCTCACTCCCCTCCCACCACCACTCCCCCCGTCCTCCACACTACCTGCTCCAGCTGCCACAGCAGACGCATCAGCAGCAGCAGCAGCCGCCACAGCAGCTGATGCAGCCGCAGCAGCAGCAGAGGCAGAAGAGAGAGATATCCTCTCTGAATCACCGCCTGACTCGCCCGAGACTGCCTTTGACTTCAACCACTCGCTCTTCTCCTCCTCCGGCCCTCTCACCTTCGGGGCGCGTCCCAGCCCCCCTCCCCCTGCTGCCACTAGCAGCAGCTACAACACCCACAGTTCCCTTGGCAGTAACATCAAGAATGGCGATGCAACCGCCACCATAGAAAGCAGCAGCAGCAGCAACAACCTGGGAACGAGTGGTGGTGGTGGTGGTGGGGGGGTGTCTTTCGAAGGGCCTCTGGATGCAGCCTCTGTCTCTCGCGCTGCTGCTGCTGTCACTGCTGCTGCTTCTGCTGCTGCTGTGCGGACTGGTGATGGGCATGGGCAGGCGCTAGCCATACAGGCAGCACCTTCTGAGTTCTCCCCTGCAGCGGTTGATCGCTTTATTGCCGCTCTCTCTGTTCAGACACCTCTCTCTCAGCCTCTTCCTCCTGCTTCTTCTCCTTCACTTGTCATTCCGAATCAAGAAGGGAGAGGTGGTGGGACTGATAATGAGTTATTTCAGATGCAGAGCGAAGGAGCGGGGAGAGGTGGAGGGGGGGCATCCATGTCAGCGACGGGTGTTGCTGACTCAGCGGACCCGATGCACCCGCTCCGATCGGCTCTGCATGCGTTGTGGGCGGCCGATAACTTCTGCCACGTCAGCACTGTGGAGGCGGCGCTGCGTGAGGAGGACAGGTGGCGCGACGTGATTCGCTTTCTATTTTTCAAGGGATTGCACAGAGAGGGTCTTGTGCTCTTAAGAGAGATGCTTAAGGACGGTGGAGTGGGAACGGGGTGGGAAGGGGAGGAGGGGACAGAGGTGGAGGGAAGGAGAAAGGTAGAGGGAGAAGGAATGGAGGGAGCAGGGGAGAGCGGTGATGGTGGTGGTGGTGGTGGTGGTGATGAGACGAGGGGGAAGAGGAGGGATGCTGACGTGGTAGAGAACTGCTTCAAGGAATACGTGGAGCTGCTAGGTCAGCAGCCACGTCAGCAGCCGCTCGTGCTGGAGGCGCTGACATGGCGCTTTGAGGACGACCCGACTGCTGCGCTGGCGCTGCTCACATCGCTGCGGCACCCCCCTCCCAACGGTATGTATGCTTGCGGCCTTCTCAAGCCTTCTCAAACCTTCTCAAACCTTCTCAAACCTTCTCAAACCTTCTCAACCCTTCTCAAACCATCTCAAACCTTCTCAAACCTTCTCAAACCTTCTCAAACCTTCTCAGACCTTCTCAAACCTTCTCAAACCTCTTTCTACATAGTCCACGGGAGTTATGCGGCCTCCCTCATGCTGCTCCCCTGTCGTCCCCTCTCCCTCCTTCTGAGTTGTCTCAGAGCCATGTCCCCCGCATCTCCCTCCCCACCAGACCTGGTGCTCTCTCTCATCCGCCAGGTGGCCCCTCACCTCAGTGTCTCCTTCCTCCAACACCTTTTAGAACAGACAGCGCAGGCCATGGGAGAGGGGGGTGGCGGGTGGGGGCTGCTCTGCTCCTCTCTGCCATCAAGGTGACTTCTGAGTCGACTCAAAAGTCACCTCGGTGGCGGGTGGGGGCTGCTCTGCTACTCTCTGCCATCTACCGTTATGCTCATGCCTTGTTTCTCTCTACCCTTCCCTACCAGACCTCGTGCTCTCGCTCATCCGTCAAGTGGCCCCTCACCTCAGTGCCTCCTTCCTCCAACACCTCTTAGAGCAGACCGCTCAGGCCATGGAAGAGGGCAGTGGAGGGTGGGGGCTGCTCCTTCTTGTCATTCCCCCCTCATGCTGGTGTCTTGTTCTCTCCTCCGCCCTCTTCCCCCCCTCTCCACCCTGTCCTCCCGCCCTCTCCCACCCCGCCAGACCTGGTGCTCTCGCTCATCCGTCAGGTGGCCCCTCACCTCAGTGCCTCCTTCCTCCAAAACCTCTTGGAGCAAACTGCCCAAGCCATGGGAGAGGGGGGTGAAGGGTTGGGGCTGCTTTCTGCCTTCCTACTCATATGCTGCTGCCTTGTTTCTCTCTACCCTCCCAACCAGACCTGGTGCTCTCGCTCATCCGTCAAGTCGCCCCTCACCTCAGTGCCTCCTTCCTCGAACATCTGTTGGAGCAAACAGCTCAAGCCATGGGAGAGGGGGGTGCGGGGGACGGTGGGGAAGATGGGGAAGAGGAGGAGGAGGGATTGGAAGGGGGCTGGAGGGACAGCAGCGGCAGTGGCGGCGGGGGGAGCGGGAGAGGGAGTGGGGAGGAGAGTGGAAGGCGGTCGAGCGGCAGTGGGGTTGGGTCCAGTGGAGAGGGTGGGGGTGTGGTTGGGGGGAGTCAGGAGGTGCAGGATGTGGGGGCAGCAGCATCTCAGCTACAGCTAGACCTGGTGAGTGGAGGGCCTTTTGAGGTGAGTGGGGGAGGGGGAGGGAGAGGGAGTGGGGAGAGCGGAAGGCGGTGGAGTAGCAGCAGTGGTGCTAGTGGGGGTGCTAGTGGGGGTGCTAGTGGTGGTGCTAGTGGGGGTGCTAGTGGGAGTTAGGAGGTGCAGGATGTGGGGGCAGCAGCATCTCAGCTACAGCTGGATCTAGTGAGTCCATGTGCTTGAGGCGTACAGCTGGATCTAGTGAGTCCATGTGCTTGAGGCGCCTCAAAATGCTACAGCTGGATCTAGTGAGTGAGTCCATGTGCTTTTTTCTGTTAAGCGAATACAATAAGACACCGAGGTTATGTGAGTGTCCCTTTCCCTTTCCCCTTTCTCGTCTCAATTTTAAGATCACTTGAGAATTCTAATGAATTTTCCGAAGACACCTTGCCTAACCAATGCCTGGCCTGGCCATACCTCACCCATATCTTTCCATACCTTTACCATACGTCTCCTTTCCATACGTTTCCCATACCGCTCTCATACCTCCCCCGTTCCTATCCCATGCCTCCTATCCCATGCCTCTCTCCCTTACGTCTCCTGTTGCTCCTCCGAACCTCAGGTTCGGCTCAGCCTTCACCGTGTCAAAGCGGAGCTCCGCCAATCAGCAGCTGCCACGTCAACAGCAGGGATCTCCCCAGCCACGTCAGCAGCAGGGGAGCGCCCTGTTGTGATTTGTCCAGAGAGGGCCAAGCTGGCAGCTGTGTTGCAGCGGATCAGGCTGCGGCTTATTCCAGAGGTGAGGTGTGGTGCAGTGGAGTGTGGTGGGGCGAGGTGAGTTGAGAAACGGTTTTGTGTGATCGTGTGGGATGGGGTGGAGTGGGGTGGAGTGGGGTGGGGTGAGACTGTATGGAATCATCGAACCAGCTTAGATGCATGGCCATGAATCGGACGGGACTATGCTCATGTCTTGTAGATAGTAGAGTCTGAAAGTCTCTTCTCTCCTTCCATCTCCTTTTCCTCCTCCTCAGACCCCTTACAACAATCCCCCTCCCTGCTCATCCCTCCAGGTGCTTCAAATGCTTCCTCCAGGCTCCCTCTTTGCGGAAAAAGCATCCCCTCTCCTCAAACCCCCTTAACCAATCCACTCGTCCCTGCTCGTTCCTCCCTGCGCGTCTCTCCAGGTGCTGCAAATGCTCCCGCCAGACTCCCTCTTTGAGGAGAAGGCCTCCCTTCTCCTGCGCCTCCTGCTACACACCCACGCCCATTCCCCTGGCCAAGCCACTGCGGCCGCAAAAACAGCAGCAAGAGCAGCTGCAGCAGGACTTGCAAATGCAGCCCCTCATGCGGGCTCGGGTGCAACGTGCCTGCACGCGAACCCCATGAGAGCAGCAATGCTTTCGGGTGCACGAATGCCCGTGCGTGCAGCAGAGGCAGCAGCAGCAGCCGTGGAGGCAGTGGGTGGTCGAGATGCGCTGCTGTGGATGGTGCTTGTGCTCTATGCCAGGAAGGTATGATGTGTGCTTGTGGTGCAATCTTTGACGTGCTTCCCCACCACTCCCCTCCTCTCCTCTCCCCTCCTCTCCTCTCCCCTCTCCCCCCCTTCCCTGAGATACCCAACTCCCCCCCGTGTTCTCTCCTATCCTCCTTCCCCAACCCCCCAAACAGCTTAATCAGCTTCTTCACTGCATCTCCATCTGCGACCAACTCTTCTCCTCTTTCGTGCATGATGGGTCTGTTCTTGTGAGAACATACCCCTTCCCGCCCGCCCCCCCCCCTTCCCCTCCACTCGCCCACCCACCCCCCAAACAGCTGAATCAGCCCTTGCACTGCATCTCCATCTGCGACCAACTCGTCTCCTCTCCGCCCTCTCGCCCATCCACCACCTCCCTCTCTCACCACCCTTCTCCCACCCCTCCCTCCTCCTTCTTACCCTTCATCTCCCCTCGTATGCCTCCTCCTCTCACCACCACCACCACCACCACCACCTCCTCCTCCCCCTCTTCCTCCTCCTCCTCTTCTCACTCCCACATTCCTGCGCTCATCCCTCTCCTCCCTCCCTTCTCCTCTTCTTCCATAACCGCTTTCCAATCCACTCCCACCACTGCCACCACTGCACAAGCACAAGCACCACCACCAGCAGTGGGAGGGGAAACAGGAGGAGCAGCAGCAGGGGCAAAAACAGCAGCAGGAGGAAGAACAGGAGAGACCAGAGGGGTTGCAAGGGAGGAGGCTACCCCTGATGTGGGAGGCACCAGCTCTAGCAGCTCTAGCAGCAGTAGCAGCTCTAGCAGCAGTAGCAGCTCTAGCAGCAGTAGCAGCTGTAGCAGCAGTAGCAGCTCTAGCGCCCTTCTTACTGCTTCCACGCCCCACCAAGTGCTGCTGCGGGTGCTGCTGCTGTCTGACGTGGCGCTGACTCAGTTTGCCGCCCACTTTGGGAGGATCTACCCTGTCAGTCAAGGGGAGGGCGAGGAGGGGAAGCAGAGAGGGGAGGAAGGTGCGGAGAAGGGGCATGGAGATGGACAGAAGGGAAGGAAAGGAGTTAGAACGGAAGCAGAGATGGCAGAAGCACCAGCAGACGCAGCAGCAGTGGACGCAGAAGCAAGGGCGATTGGTGCAGAGAAGAGGGGAAAGAGGCTAGCTGTGATAGCAGATGTGGAAGAGGAGGAACGGGGGGACAGGGGGGGAAGCAGCAGCCTTGCGTCTTTGGTTCCGGTCTCCTCAACCCTACAGGGCCACACGGGTGTGACAGAGAGCAAGAAGGAAGAAGGAGAAGCAAGTCAAGCGTTTGGCGCGGTTGGGAGACGAGGGGGGGCGAACAGGTGGGGGCTGAGGGAGGGAGTGATGGTGGCGGCGGCTCTTGAGGTGATGGAGAGGCGGTGGGCAATGGTTGACCCCTGGGAGGCGTTACACATGCTACCAAGTGACGTACCTTTGCAGGTGAGATGTGATGTATATGACGCAGTGAGCATGTGATCATGCCTCCAGCGGTGGAGGTGATGGGGAGGCGGTGGGTGATGGTTTAACCTTTGAAGGCGTTACACATGTTACCACGTGACGTGCCGTTGCAGGTATCATGCACATCAGGCAAGGCAGGGTTGCTTTTGGAGAGTCAAAGCCACCCGCACTTCCACCCCCATCTTAACTTCTATTTGCACCCCCTGAGAGTGCTGCCGTACCTAAAGGCAGTGCTGCGCGCGGGCAGCGAGCAGAGGAGGAATGCGCTGGTTTACTTACAAGGCAATCCCAAACCCACTTTCATCCACCCCCACCCCCACCCCCACCCCCACCCCCAGAGTGTGCTGCCATACCTGGAGGCAGTGCTGCGGGCGGGCAGTGAGCAGAGGAGGAACAGTTCTCGTTTACTTACAAGGCAACCCCACCCCCACTTTCATCCACACCCCCACCCATTTCATCAGAGCGTGCTGCCATACCTGGAGGCAGTGCTGCGGGCGGGCAGTGAGCAGAGGAGGAACAGTTCTCGTTTACTTACAAGGCAACCCCACCCCCACTTTCATCCACACCCCCACCCATTTCATCAGAGCGGGCTGCCATACCTGGAGGCAGTGCTGCGGGCGGGCAGTGAGCAGAGGAGGAACAGTTCTCGTTTACTTACAAGGCAACCCCACCCCCACTTTCATCCACACCCCCACCCATTTCATCAGAGCGTGCTGCCATACCTGGAGGCAGTGCTGCGGGCGGGCAGTGAGCAGAGGAGGAACAGTTCTGTGGTGAAGAACCTCAGGCGCAGCGAGAACCTGCAGGTGAGCGGTGCAGTGCGGTTGGTGAGGGGTGCAGTGGGGCTGGTGAGGGGTGCAGTGGGGCTGGTGAGGGGTGCAGTGCAGTAGATGAGTGCTGCTTCATGCTCAGAGTCGGAACAGTGCTGTGGTGAAGAACCTGAGGCGGAGTGAAAAGCTGCAGGTGAGCGGTGCAGTGTGGCTGGTGAGCGGTGCAGTGTGGCTGGTGAGGGGTGCAGTGTGGCAGGTGAAGGGTACACAGCAGTTGGAGTGAACACCTGCACGCGAGTGGTGGCCCCTGAGAAGTAGGTAAGTGAAGCATCATGTGACTCCCAAACTATGCTAGCTCACATACCTGTAGGAATCTGTATGAGTTCTATTTCGACTCGAAGACCGCCCTCGTGAAAGGTACCATGTCTGTGCCATCTGTCGCCCCTCCCTGACCTCCTCCCTTTCTTGTTCGCCCCTTCCCATCCCTTTCCACCTCCCCTTCTCCTGCTCCTCCCATCTTCTACGCAGCTCCGGAAGGAGTTGGCGAATGGAAGGAAACGCCATGTGAGCATCAGGGTATACCATGTCTCTGCACCATCTATCCTCCCTCAAATGCCCACCTCCCTTTCTCTTTCTTCCCTCTTCCGACCACCCCCCCTGCCCTCTCTTTCATAGCTCCGGGAGGAGTTGGCGAATGGCAGGAAGCGCCACGTCAGCATCACGGGGGACCGGCTGTGCGCCATCTGTCGCAAGCGGATTGGAGGGAGCGTGTTTGCCGTCTATCCGGGCGGCACGCTGGTGCATTTTGTCTGCTTCCAGCACCACCAGACACAGCTGCCTGCTGCTGCTGGTCCGTGATTGGTAAGGCAGTTCAGCTGCCCTGCAGGGTATTTGTAACATTTTGTCTGCTCAACACCACTAGATGCAGCTGCCTGCTGCTGCAGGACCATGATGGGAAGTCAGTCGCCTGCAGGTTACCGGTACTTGATTTTCGATAGAATGAATAGGAGATACAAGTAGAGCTTGCATGTATTTTTGTTTAACCTCAAAAATAGTATGACTGTTCTTTCTTGCATCAAGTGTATATTCTCTTTGTAGCTACAGCATTTTGCTCACAAGAAAACTCTCGTGTATATTGTTTTGAGCAGCAGGTAAGAAACAACTTGTGGTTGATAGGGTTGCACATTTTCGCTAATACTTTTGAAGCGTATGCCGAATGATGACGGTTCCTTCGGGTTCGGTAGGATGCAGAGCAATTTGCGGCTTGGCAGTGCGGTAGAGCGGTGTGGTGAGATTCGTAATTTCAGCCCCGCTTTACTGACCAGATCAACACCTCCAAGCCAAGCACAGCTCCAAGCCGTTTTTCGTACTAATTAGTAGCCCCGCTTCTCCTTTCCCTCTTTCCCCTCGCCTTACCTCCAGTTTTATATCACCCGCCATTCCACATAAGACCGCACGTTCCACTAGTCTCTCCTAGCGTCAAACCGTCTCCTGTCTCTCGAAAAACTGGTAGCCAGTCAATCGCAAGTTGTCTAAATCGTTGTTTTTCCGTAGGAGCGCTGTTTCGCAGTTTTTATCCTGTTCGCCCGGCGTTCTTTTAACTTCGCGTGCGGCTTCGCGTGGGGACTCCAGACGCGCCAAGATGGCGACCAAAGTGCAGCGGATTATGACCCAGCCCATTGTGCGTGCTAAGTCTCAGGGTGTTTCCGGGTATTAAAAAAATATAGGCAGACAACTCTAAAATAGCATCCCTCTCGATGCAGCGGAGTAATACCAATTCCATCGGGCGCGTTACATCTCATCGAGCTAAAATATCGGTTCTTGTGCTTGTGCTCGTGCCTGTGGTTGGGGTTGCACTTTTTTTCGCGGATTGCATCACCATTCCTTCTCCGTTGCCGATTCCGACTCTGCTCATACGAAACTTTGAAATTCGTATACGGCACAGCTGGGTTATCAGACCTCATTTTTCGTAAATAGCATTCATCGCATTTAGGGTTCCACTACCCCAAGCCTGATCTTCTCGCTCCATGTCTCTCTGGATTCTCACGGCTTCGTTCTTATTATATTTTACCTCGTCTGTAACGTATTTATTCTTCCCCTCCCCCCTCCCCGGACCTCATCTTCCCCACCACCCCCCTCGCCCCCTTCCCCCTCTTCCACCCGTTCCCCCGTTCCCTCCGCCCCTTTCTCATGCGCCAATCTGTGCATGGGCGCGCCGTACGTAATTGCTGCTGCGCGGTTCACGGCTTCAGAACTTGATATTCCGATTTCTACAAAGTGTGAGTACGGGCTAATTGGTTCATGACCCCTGCTCCCATCTCCTCTCCTTGTGACCGTGCAGTAACGGTTAGCTCCTTGCACAAGATTCCCCGTTTCCAATTTGACAATTAGCGAACGGAGCAATTCGACAAAGGCCAGGGTTGGTTGCAAACGGTCGTTACTCCGGATTGGCTCCGTTAGGGTTGACTATGAAATCACCTGCAACTCCATCCTCGTCTCTTTCCCACTCGCATCCGTCATTCTCATCGCATCTCACCGCCTCCCTCTGCACTGCTCTCCCCCCTCCCCCTTCGCCCCCCCGCCTCCGCCACCCCCCCTTCCGTGTGGTGCTTGCTTCTTGTGTGGCTGTTTCTCTGCCCCCATCTTGCCTGCCGCGCTGCGCCCATCTTGTGTGCGGTTCTTGTCCTGCAGAAATCGCGGATTCAGATCTGGCTGTATCAGCAGAAGGGCACGCGGATCGTTTTTTTGAGACGTCTAAAAAAATCACTCTTTACACGTCGCTGCGCCCATCTTGTGTGTGTGCGGCTCTTGTCATGCAGAAATCGCGGATTCAGATCTGGCTGTATCAGCAGAAGGACACGCGCATTGAGGGCAGAATTATTGTAAGTACTATACACATTCTGAACATCCGTTCTGCGAGTTCCTTTGCACACTCAGACTCCTCTATTAGCTGTCACCATATTCATCGTAATTTTGCATATGTGCTCTTATCACACTGTCTCGCAACTACCATCCGTATCCCTTCCTAGTTCACATTCCCCATCCGTTCACTTCTCTCGTGTGGCCCATGCCTTGCCCTCTCTCATGCCTTGCCCATTCTCGTGCGTCCTCACAACTTTTTTTTTTTCATGTAGTTCAATGTGTCATCATCACTGTTAGGGCTTCGATGAGTACACGAATCTGGTGCTTGAAGGTGCAGAGGAGGGGCTCTCTCTCATGGTGGCCCCTCACTCTCCTTCTCCCTCCATCTCCCCATCACATATCGTCCGTTCCTCTCAGGAAGGGCCTCGACGAGCACATGAATCTGGTGCTGGAAGATGCAGAGGAGGAGACCTCTGTATGTGCCCCTTCATCCCTCTCCTTCTCCATCCGTTCTCCACTCCACCCCCCTCTCAGGGCTTTGACGAGTACATGAATCTGGTGCTGGAGGATGCCGAGGAGGAGACCTGTCTCACATGTGTAGCCTCTTACCCTCCCTCACGTGCGTCCTTGCTCCCTTGATCTCCCGTTCTCATCCGCTCTCAGGGATTCGAGGAGTACATTAATCTGGTGCTGGAAGATGCAGAGGAAGTTTCCATGAAGTAGAGGAACTCATGTGCCCCCTCATCCCTCTCTTCCTCCTTCGATGCTCCAATTAACCTCCCTTTCAGGGATTCGACGAGTACATGAATCTGGCGCTTGAAGATGCCGAGGTACCCATGAAGAAGAGAGGCTCGTCATGTGTGTGTCCCCTCTTCCCGCACACACACTCTCTCTGTGCCCCACGCGTACGATGTTTTCCGAACCCCTCACAGGGTTTTGATGAGTACATGAATCTCGTGCTGGAGGATGCAGAGGAGGTTTCCATGAAGAAGCAGACCAGGAAGCCACTCGGTATGTTCCTCTCTCTCCACTCCATCGCACTGCACTCCACTCCACCGCACTGCACTCCACTCCACTCCACCGCAATCCACTCTACTCCCCTTGCCGTACTGCAACTCGCGCCTCTCTCGTTCGTTTTGTCATGGTATTCTACATATGGGTCATGCCTACATCACTACTCCCCGGTTCTGGTGAAGAATTACCAAAGAAACAATGCCCTTGCCCCTTGATGACTTTTGAGTCGACTCAAAAACAATGCCCTTGCCCCTTGATGACTTTTGAGTCGACTCAAAAACAATGCCCTTGCCCCTTGATGACTTTTGAGTCGACTAAAAAACAATGCCCTTGCCCCTTGATGACTTTTGAGTCGACTCTAAAACAATGCCCTTGCCCCTTGATGACTTTTGAGTCGACTCAAAAACAATGCCCTTGCCCCTTGATGACTTTTGAGTCGACTCAAAAACAATGCCCTTGCCCCTTGATGACTTAAGAGTCGACTAAAAAACAATGCCCTTGCCCCTTGATGACTTTTGAGTAGACTCAAAAACAATGCCCTTGCGCCTTCCACCTTCACCTCCCACTTGTTTCCCATATTGGCTATGCTCCCTGCATCTCGCCTCCCCTCGTCTCCTCCTGTCTTCTAGTTCCCTCTTCTCCTCCCCACTTCACCTCCCGACTTCTCCCCGATTTTCCTCCAATATGCTCACCACCTTTCCCCAGGCCGCATCTTGCTGCGAGGAGACAACATCACGCTCATGATGAACACGTGAGTGGCGTGCCCTTCCTTCCGCCCGTCGTCTATGCTGTGGTGTGATGTACCCTGCTGCCATGCCGGTTTTGTTTCCCAATCTTCCGTTTGGCGGTGTGATGTTGGATCTTGAAAGCCACCCCATTCATAGCATTTGCGGTGCCATGTCGTGTGGCATGACACCGCATGGCATGGCATGACATCGCATGGCATGGTATGACACCGCATGGCATGGTATGACACCGCATGGCATGGCATGGCATGACACCGCATGGCATGGCATGGCATGACACCGCATGACATGGCATGACACCGCATGACATGGCATGACACCGCATGACATGGAAACACAAGCACACCACGAATGTTGGGGGTTGTAGTCTTCCTTGTAAGCGATTTTTTGTAACTCCTTTTTAGAATCACTTATGAGAATTTTCAAGAATCGCTCCCAAGGACTACATAAGCCAGCCTACCAGTGGCATAACACCGCGAATGCTCCACCTTTAGTACAAGTCTGTCCACCCATTTCCTCCTGGCTTGAATGCCATTCCATTCCATCCCACCTGTCCCATGTCACTCCATTCCGTCCCATGGCAATGATAGATAATTTGTGCCTGTTCCTGCGCTGATAACAAAGGGCCAATAGTTTTCTCAACCCTGCCTTTGACTGCTTTTTTAACCCATCGTGTCCTATCCAGGGGGAAATAACAAGGGGGAGAATAACGAGTGCGACTGGTTGTGCGAGTAGGCTGCTTCGCAACACTTGCACCTCGTATTCGTTCAGGCGCCTAAAAATTCGACTGTTGTGCGAGAAGGCTGTTGTGCTACACTTGTGTTTTGCACCTTGCCGCTTCCCTTCGCTCCCTTCTCACCTTGCCTTGCTGGGCTTCCACTGGGGCATCTTCCTGTGTGGCTGTTTCCCATTGATAAGGGGAGGCAGGCATGGATGCATTCGGGCACCTTGGGATCCTGTGTAGCTGTTTCCCGCTGGTAAGAGGCACGTATGCAGGCAGGCAGTGAGGCACTCTTGTAATGTGTTCCAGCGATGTACGGTATGGTAGGTAGAAACGGTGTTCATTACCATATTGTTGGGCTGAGAAAGGCCCTAGGGTCGTTGTAGATTAGAGACTAGACTTGAATGGTATTGCAGCTGTGAACGCCTGAGCTTGCATAACAAGAACAAGGGTTGATCGATTAATAGGAGTAGTAACGAAGAATATGATATGAACACACACAAACATTTTTACAAGAGCCATGCCCTGACGCACGCTAGGGTGCAAGCACACGATCCAGCTGGTGTGCCTTCACAAGCTTCCTTTCAACTACTTGTACAAAGCAGCACACATCCTCACCTCACACCTTTCTAGGGCACAAGCACACGATCCAGCTGGTGTGCCTTCACAAACGTCCCCTCGAACATCCTCCTCGTGTCCACCTGCGCCCAGAACAGTGTCGATGCATTCCTCGCACTGAACGCCACCTTTGTCCCAGGGTTGAAAACCAGGTTCGGCCGCACACTGTGCTTCACAAGCACATACTTCTCGCTTGGCGAGCTGAAAAACAGCATTGGAAAAAGCCCACTTTTGTCCGGCAGAGCTTTCAGGCTTCTGAGGCTGTAAAGGCCGACGAGGATGTGAAAGAGAGGGACTTTTTTCGACATCCTGTAGAGTCTCCGACGGAAGAGGACTCGGTAGAAGGCCGCATTGGTGGGCGCGAGGAAGGTGAATGGGACGTAGGAAAAGTCGGCATCAGCGGTTTTTTCTGGCAGGAGAGAGGGAGCGGGGATAAGAGAAAGAGTCAGGGAAAATGCGTTCACTGAGTCCTGAAGGTGAAGGGTAAGCTGCAAGGGACGACAAAGGGACAGCCAGAAGGTGAAGGTGTAGCGGCAGGTGAGGACGTGGAGGAGAGCGACTTTGGTCTTTGGTCCACTCCACTCCGTGTCATGCGGCCCGGGCGTCAGGGGTTTCCTCTGGCAGGACGACGGGGAGAAGGAGGAAAGAGGGGGGAAGAGAGTGGCAGGAAAGTCGACACAATGAGGCTTTGATAGGTTGACTTGATGAGGCTTTATTTCAAGGAATGTGAATCCATGAAAGAGATAGTCTGGGCTGTTAAATCACATGACCCGTCTCTGAGATGTTAATCACAGCCCCTCGGCCTTCCAAGGTGATTACCCTGGTGGAAAGTAGGGCGTTGAGCGTCGACCCATGACTTGGCTCAAGCGACTCTTGACTCACGGCACGGCACAACAGAGGGGCTGCGGTTCTTCATATGAACGAATGGGGTGGAAAAAAAAAAAAGGGCAATGGGAGATTTAAGTGCAGAAAACGGGGAAGCGGCGCGCTTACCAGCACTGGACATGAATGCTCGCACTACTTTCGCGAAGATGCTGCAGCCCCGCGCCTTGAGCCGCTTAGCGAGCACCTTCAACTCCGCCACGAACTGCGCCTTAGTCGGCGACGGATCCGCCAAGATTCCCGCGGAGGTTCCCGCCGCCGAGGTAGGGTTTGCCGGGGGAGTAGCCAAGGCGGCGGTGCTACTATGATCCGACGGCTGGGAGCTCTCCATGAGCCTCTTGGCGCGGAGCGCGCTCATCGCGATCGCGTACAGCGACTCGGTGGGCGGGGGAGCTGTCGGGTCAGCATCATCCTGCGCGGAGGCGGAACCCTGCGCTGCGGCAAACGCGGAGCTGGTTGCTGCTGGCAGGCGCGCCAGCAGCAGGGCCGCGCAGAGGGCGAGGAGGAGCCGTGGCAGCGGGACGCGGCGAAGGGGCATGAAACGCGGCGAGGACGGGGCGGCCATGATGACGATGGACGAGTTAAAGCTGCCGCATTGACTATCGGACTCCTGCGTGTCGGGCTGACGACGAGTCGGGCCGCCAACTCAGAGAAGGGGCGCGCACTCTGTTTTAGAGGCTCATACAGGCTCATGTACTGCCAGTACTATCAGTGATAGCGGCCCCGCGGATTTTATAGTGCGACAGACAGTCTCAGCCCTGACTATTGGTGCGGGAAGTGGGGGAGGAGGATGAGGGGGAGCGGGGGGAGGACGGAGTGGACGGCGAGCGGAGGGGACGGGTGGGTGCATGATATCCTAAAAAATCAGAACGCAAAATCGAATTGAATTCGAGGCACCCCAAGGTCACCCTCACAGCCACATGTTCCTTGTTCCCATCAGGATACCTCTGATCTGAGGTTTGGCGAAGTCATCGACAATCGCCAACATCCTCGCGCATGGTCGATAACATCGACCAATCGTGAGGCAGCTCAGTTCGATGATAGGTTACCCTACTCTCGTCGGGCGGAAGAATGCCCTGGTCTTCTGATGGCCGCGACTCGAAGGGACCTGACATGATGCATTCAGCTTCGTCATCATCCGAGCCACGCGAGGGAAACCAACCAAGACTGGCCCTCCGAAACTCGGCCGTCCTCCTAGCGCGAACCGAACCGACCCTACGGTCGGTGCCTTGACGGGACGCGGGCCCCGAAACTGCACGTGGGAAGCATGCTGACTCATCGGTGGAGACAAAATGTTTTGGCCCCCAAACACTCGCGACTGGTCGTGAGAAGTCCCCGTTACGGAGCAAAAAAAATGCATCATTAGGGAAATTCAGTCCCTCAACGCTCTAACAAAGAAAAGCAATAACGAAAAGTATTTCTGCAGGGAGGCAGTCTCCTACCCTTCGCCCCATACAACTGAGAAGGGGTAGTTTGTGCGCCATTTAGAATTACGAAGTGTTGCAGTTCGATTTGGCACGTCCCAACCCGACGCAGTGCACCGGCTCCGAAGCTTCCAGTAGGTAGAAACGCGTGCAGATCCGAAGTAGTGCACTGCTTTGGCACGCGCTGGGAAGGCAGAGAGGTGCGCCACTCTGTTGTGGAGCGCACCAGCGCGTGCTTGTGGCTCGCGCTGGGGCGTGCCAGCCCAAACAATGTTGGTGAAGTAAAACAAAAGACTTATGCAATTCAGTAATTCGATCACTACAGTAATATCGTAGTACTTAGTGATGTCATAATAACTTTGCATGAATGATTGGATTAGAAAGAGTTGGGGTACAAGTATTAACCCTAGAAGTACTGTACCCCATAAGGAGTGCCCCACTATAGCCTACAAGTGAGATTGTACTTTGACACACCCCCATAGGCTAAATGGGGGACAGCAAGACGGCCACAAGACCAGTCAAGCAAGACAACAGAGCAAAGCAAAGCAAAGCTCAGGGTGGATCTCAAGGACACCACACAATCCGAGCACAAGCAAGCGGCCACAAGGCCAGTTCACATGCAGAGTTATAATAGCAAGGCAGTACACTGATCACAACCTAGCAAGAGTAAGCATGCAGGTATAAATATAGATATCATGGTACAACAAGTGCAAGATCAAGAGACAAGCAGGTGAGGTAGAATGGGCAGAAGCCCAAGAGCAGTGCAAAAACGTTGAAGATCACTAGACCCAAGGGCCTTGATGAAGACATCAGCAATGTTGGTCCGAGAGGCCACATAAGAAAGGCGAAGCTGACCACGCTGTTGCAGCTCCCGAGCAAGAAAGTAACGAAGAGCAATGTGCTTCGTTCTGTGCTCCAGTCTCTGCTCCTGACACAAGGCAATGATGGCCTTGTTGTCAACGTACAGAACTGGAGGAGAACGAGGCCGCTCCCCCAAGTCGGTCAGCAGGTAGGTCAGCCAGCGTAGCTCCTGTGCAGCCATGGCCCCAGCGTAGATCTCGGCCTCACAGCTGGAACCAAGCACGGAAGAAGAACGAGTGGACCTCCACTAGACAGAACCAGAAGACTGAAGGTGTAACCCTGTGACGAACACTGAGTCGCCTGGTAGTCGGCCCAAGAAGCGTCGGAGTGTCCTGTAAGTACCACTGAACCCTGTCCTCCAAGCACGAGCCCCATGCCCGATGTACTGCACAAGTAACGCAGTACCCTCTTTGCAGCATCAAAGTGCACCTTTCGGTGTCTACTGGGAGCCACGTAGCGAGCCATGAGGCTGAGAGGGTACGCGAGGTCAGGTCGTGTGCACGTCATCAGGTACATGAGGCAACCCACAAGCTCTGGGTACGGACCACTCGGCTCTACGGACTCGTCCGAAGGTGGAGCTCAGATCGAGTGGCCGGTAGACAGAGGAGTGGGCTGTGGCGAGGAGTACTGGAAGCTGAAGCGCCGAAGGACCTAGTGCACCATGTGTGACTGAGTCATGGTGATGGTGCACCGTGCTCTGTCCCGGGTGATCTGCAAGCCAAGATAGCTACGCAACTCACCCAGGTCAGTGCAGGTGTGTCTCTCCTGCAGCTCCGCCTTCACTAGGGCCAGCGCCTCAGTATCAGCAGTAGCAAAAACCAAGTCGTCGACGTACACGAGAACGTAGAACGGCGGCAGGAAAGTGTCGGTGCGTAGAGACAACGACGGGTCAGCAGAGGAAGGAGAAAACCCAAGAGCCGCAAGTGTAGTCCGCAGTGTGTCGTGCCACTCGCGGAACGCCTGGCGGAGACCGTAGACTGGCCGCTGGAGGCTCCACTGGGTACCCGCAGGAAACGACCCAGTGAAGCTAGGTGGGCGGCACAGCCAGATCTCCTCGTGAAGGTTGCCTTGCAAGAAAGTTGTGGAGAAGTCGAGGGAGTGCAGCTCGTAGTCACGCTGTGCTGCAAGGTGTAGCACCACCCGAAGAGTAGTCATCTTCGGGGTGGGGGAGAAGATCTAGAAGAAGTCG